GTGTGAGTCCTTGGACTGGGCTTCTCAATCCCAACTCTACACTTTCTCTGACGTCTAGTAATCCTAGTTTATTCCCCTTCTGGTAGACAACTTTTACCTTGATCACATTTATTTCTCCATAAGTCCCAGTCCCCATTTCCTCCCTTCCCCTCCCCCCCCACAGCCCCACCCTAGGGTAATAGGATATACTCTGTGTAGGAATGCCCTTTATAGGACAGCTTCAGCTAATCTGGGAACTGAGTCTAGGTTTCAGGTGATTAGGCTCTGTGGACATAAAGGGTTCCATGTTTGGGAGCAATATGTGAATATGGGATTGGGGGAGAGATTCCCTCTTGGCCTATCTATGTCTGCCTCAAACTCTTTGTTTTCCTTTGCCCCAGGTATCACCCCCGTGTATTGTACATTGACATTGACATCCATCATGGGGATGGTGTACAGGAAGCTTTTTATCTCACTGACCGAGTTATGACTGTCTCTTTCCATAAATATGGCAATTACTTCTTCCCTGGCACAGGTAGAGAGATTTGTCGGGGAAGAGCGGGGGGAAGGAGGGAAGGATGGGTTGAGGAAATGGTGGGCCAGGGATGAGTAGGTAGCTTTAGAAAGGGAATAGAAGGGGCTAGACAGTTGTTGGGGGCACAGAGTCTTATGTGTGAAGTCAAAAAATCCAGATTTGTAGTATTTCCCCAGCAAGTTACCCCCAGCCATCTTTCCCCTGCAGGTGATATGTATGAAGTTGGAGCAGAAAGTGGACGCTACTACTGTCTCAATGTGCCCCTGCGGGATGGCATCGATGACCAGAGTAAAGGACTACCTATTTGCCTAATCTCATATTTTTTTTCTTTACTATGTACTGGCTGTCTTGTTGTGCCCTATGTTGCCCTGTACCTGGGTTGCTAGTTCCCTCAACCCCCTTTTCCCTGTCTCTGAGTCCAGTCCTTCTCCTTGGGGTGCTAGTTGTCTACCTTTTACCACTCCAGGTTACAAGCACCTCTTCCAGCCTGTCATCAACCAAGTGGTAGATTTTTACCAACCAACGTGCATTGTGCTACAGGTAGCAAGTAGTTTGAACCTCCATTGTGTGTGTGTGTGTGTGTGTGTGTGTTGGGAAGAGGGTTAGCCCTGGCCTCTGTGGAATATGGTAGGGAGGGTGACAGTTCTCAATTTGGGGGAGAAATATAGGGTAGATGGTCACTCATGTTATCTCAGTCAGTTATCTCAAGACAGCTGCTTAGTATTTTGTTCTTTGCAGTGTGGAGCTGATTCCCTGGGTTGTGATCGGCTGGGCTGCTTCAACCTTAGCATCCGAGGTCATGGGTAAGACTCTCCTTTCCATACCCTCCTGGACACCCTTCAGAAACATCTTGGGGATGTACCTTAATTTTGTATACTTGTAGTTATAGGGGCAGGGTCCTGGCCTTTTCTTGTGGAGACAAAAGATTTAGAGGACCAATGGATTTGTGATTTCATTAATGCAGATATACAGTGATACAAATTTGAACTCATCTATGCCTGCCCATTGTGTGGGATTCTTCTTCATGTACTCCCATAAATTCCCTACAGGGAATCTATCCAACAGTGTTGGGGACCTTCCTCAAATTCTACCATTGCCTGGTGGCCAGTGGAATACATGTCCTGTCTATTAATTATCCTTCACTCTTCTTATGTGACCATGGGATGTGAGAAGAAAATGTCACAAACAACTTGGATTCTTGGTCTGATTGGAAATGGTGGGGGCCCTTGGATGTTGGGAGATCTAAGGTAAAAGTGACTAGGAAGATGGAAAAGGAATAGATAGTTCAGCTGCTGACATTTCCTGGTCCTCAACAGGGAGTGTGTTGAATATGTCAAGAGCTTTAACATCCCATTGCTGGTACTGGGTGGTGGCGGCTACACTGTTCGAAATGTTGCCCGATGCTGGTGAGTTCAGTCTCTCATCTGTCTCTCCTCTCTCCTATAAGTATCATGGGTTCATTGAGGGTTGCCTAGGTGGGCCCTAGAGCCTTCTCATTTGGTTCTTTCCCTCCTGTTGTTTCAGGACATATGAGACATCACTGCTGGTAGACGAAGCTATCAGTGAGGAGCTACCGTATAGTGGTGAGACACTCCTCTTACTCCCCCACCCCATCTTTTACAAATCAGTTTGCTTGGGGGGCCCTAGGATGGCCTGGGGTGGAGTTGGAAGAATAATTTGATACCTTTGAGTAGGCAGAGTTGAGTTCTCTAGTGTTGTTACTCTTTTTTTTTGATACTGAATCACTGAATTGTAGGGGAGGCCGAAGTCCTGGCCCTTCTTCCTATAGAGTATAAATTAGATAGAGGTAAGACCCAGGAACCCTGATTCCCAGCCAGTGCTGAACTTGTCTCACTCCTTGCCCTGGGACTCTGATCTGTTTTTCTTCTTCTCCCCAAACAAAGAATATTTTGAGTACTTTGCCCCAGACTTCACATTGCATCCAGATGTCAGCACACGAATTGAAAACCAGAATTCACGCCAGGTCAGTGGCCCAGAGAAATGGGAATGACCGGTGGAGGGGTGGGTGGTGAGAGTGGGGGCAGAGAGGTAAGGGTGTAGAGTTGGGGTATGGGGGACTTACTGCACATTGGCTTGATTGAGGAGTGATTTGGGGGGATGGGCACAGAGTCAGAAGGGTTTGCCTAGGACTTTCAGGCCAAGGAACTGAGGGAAACATACTAGGGAAGGAAGTTCTAGGCCAGTCCTGGTAATGGAACCTAAGTTGCTATGGTAGAAATCAGGACAGTCAAAGGCTGTAATGTTAGTTGTATAGAGAGAGCTCCCAACTGGTCTGTCCCTGACTGGAAAACACGTTTGTGGAATTAGAGCTTCTAATTGAGAGTTGGAACAGTGATGCTTTGGGAATGGATAAGAAATAGCTTATGTCCCCTCATGCCTTCCTTCTTGTTCTGGCTAGTACCTCGACCAGATCCGGCAGACGATCTTTGAGAATCTGAAAATGTTGAATCATGCACCCAGTGTCCAGATCCATGATGTACCATCTGATCTGCTGACCTATGACCGAACTGATGAAGCTGATGCTGAAGAAAGGGGCCCAGAGGAAAACTATACCAGGTATTGGATGAGGAGAGAATAGCCATTGAGGGAGCCTTAGGAAAGACAATAGGAGACTATTTTGCTGAGGACTGGAAAACAACTATAGCAGGGTGGCTTTTTTTTTTCTTTGTCATGTTCTTGGGTCTAAGGAAGGGGAGAGAGGAATACTTGGAGAACCATGACATGTATATTTTGTGGGAGGTGCAAAAGGCTACATACAACAGACTTGGTGGAAGGGCTTCAAGGAGAATGTTGCTGATAAAAAGTCAGAAAGTGGCTAGAGACATTGAGAGAAGCTGGGAATCTAGTCACTGGAGCCTGCTGCTACCACTTATTGTTTGCTCCCTGTCGCTTTCCCTTTTTCCTCTACTTTCTCTCCCCTGGCTAGGTGTTTAATAATGCTTGTTGATTAATTGATAGTACTGATCTCTCTCCCAACCTCCCAGGCCAGAGCCTCCCAATGAGTTCTATGATGGAGACCATGACAACGATAAGGAAAGTGATGTAGAGATTTGAAGCTTGGAGAGACTCTGCTCCACAGAGAGTTACATCCCACTTCAGGGCTGGGCAGGTGGCAAGAAGAGTGACCTTTCCTTGTGTGACTTTCTCTATCCCTGGGCCTTTGCCCTCTACTCTGTGGGAAAGAGTACAAAGACTGCTACTGGTCCCAGGACCTACTTACCCTTACTCCAGTTTCCTTCTCCCCAAGCCAGAGGTGGTAATTTTTGGACAGGTGGATGGGGGATAGTTCTAGCTCTAACTTGGGGCTATAAGGTCAGCTTCTCTAGACAAGTCAGAGAGGTCACATGTCTCTTAGAGGTCAGTCTCTTAGCTTGCCCCCTGTTCTCAGACCCCTGTCTCTTCTTGACAAAGGTATTTTCAGGACTGAGGGGTAGATGATATTGAAGGTACCTTTTTATTCCCAGCCATACCGTGCCCCGTCTGATGTACACTTTAATTTGGGAGTGGAAAGGGACCAGGGGAGGGTTGTCATTTTTTTCCTACCTTATGGGTGCCTTTTGATTGGGAAAAGGAGTGGAGATGGGTTTTGTGTCCTGCCTTTTCATATTTTATGTCCATTTTACCATTGTTTTTATCCAATAAATTGAGTCAGTATTTTTCTTATCTACTGCCTTCTTCCTGTGAATCTGATATTTCCTTCAGGTGTACCTTATTGGGCATATAGGGGTGGGAAGGGAGTTGAAGGTACATTTCACTGTATCCAGGGGTGATAGATCTGGTGTTTGCTTTCCACTTCTTTTCACTGAATCCTTGGGCTTTTCCCAGGACTGCCATACTTTATTAGCTCAAGAGAGTGGGCCTGGGCTGTCTGTGAACTTGGACTCTGAGGCTAACACCAATGGTGGGGTTGGGGTTTCTGAGGTTGGGTTTGTGATACAAGGCAGGGAGCCCAGCCACGGCTCTATGGATGGGTTTGCCTACCTCCTGGCCAGGCTGGGGAAGCATCATCAATATCCCCTGTTCCAAAGGCCTCCCTCCCCTGGGAAAAGGCTGATTTCCCTTGTACCCCATGACATCTGGGCACGACAGCCACGCCGGTGCAGGGACGTGAACCAAAAAGTTTGTGGTTCTGTCGGAGGCCCGGCAGATGGCGCTGTTCCTGGTTCTAAACTCCTCAACTTCCTCCCCACTAAATTGGGCTTAGTGGTTGAGTCCATTGGGCAGGTAGAGCGTTGAAACGGTCGTCACCCCCCAGGTTCAACGCACAGTTGGTAGGCACCGCACGGAAGTGTGGCAGGCTCCGAGCTCTGGGCCGTCTCTACTAGATATTTATGAGGCGCGCGCAGCTCAGCATGCTAATGAGCCCGGGGAGGGCGGAGGACTGAGGCGCTGGGCGGCGGCGGCGCGCGGGCGGCGAGGAGGCAGCGAGCGGGCGGGCGGGCGGTGCGAGCCGAGCGGAGCGGAGGGGAGCAGGCTTCGGGGGGCAACGTGCTAGCCGGAGACATGGAGCCACCCGGAGGGGGCCTGGGGCCGGGCCGCGGGACCCGGGACAAGAAGAAGGGCCGGAGCCCGGAGGAGCCGCCCGCGGCTGGCGACGGCGGCAAATCCAAGAAATTCGTGAGTGTCCCACCCACCCACCCATCGCTTCAGCCCCGGTCCCGGCACTGTCCCCCTCGGGCCAGCGGCCGGGGAGCCACCCCCGCCGCCTGCCAGCCTGCCCGCTGCCCTTCCTGCTGCCCACCCTCACCACCGTCCCTCCCCGCCCCGGCTTCCTCAAGCCTGACTGCTCTCTTATCCCCTCTACTCCCTAGATCTTACTCGGTCCTGGCGGCCCTTCTTGTCCGCCCAAACCTCCCCCCGTGCACACCTGGCCCCTCCTAACCCCCCTCGACCCTCTCTGTCCCCAACTTGATGCCCCTCAGCCACCTCCTACCCCCTCCCCCGGCTCGGACCAGGCTCCCCCTAATCCCTCCTCCACCCTGCAACCACCTTTATCCCTATCTCTCCCGACAAACCCATCAGACCTGGTTTCGCCCCTTATCTCTCCCCCTAAACCTGGCCCCCCTCCGCCACCTGGCCTCCCAGGTACCTTTCCCTCCCGCTCTCCCACCCCAGAGCCGGATCCTTTTCAGCCCTTCTCAACACCCACCCTCACCTGGCTACCCTTAATTACTTTTATCCACGTTCCCCCCTCCCCTAGACCCTGGCCCCCTCGAGTTACTACATACGTGGTAATGCTAGTCCTTTTTCTTCAGCCTTGTAACCTTCTTCTTTTCCCCACCTTGGGATAGCCACCTTCCCAGCTCCTGTGCATCTTTCTTTGCTGCTGTTGCTGTCGCTATTTTTCCCCTAATGTTCCACATAACCTTCTTCCTTTCAGATCTTTTCTCCCATAACCTTTACTGAACTAGTTCTCTTTTGCTTACCTTTTAATTCCTACCTTCTATCAGTCACTCCCCAACTTCCTTTTTTTTTCTTTCTGTTAACATAGATGTTTCTTCTTTCTTGGCCCAACCCCCTTTCTCCAGGTACTTTTCTAGGTTCATTTTCTAAGCCTCTCTTGACATTCTCTTATTCCCTCCCCCCCATTTCCTGATCTGTGCTTTAACCTTTTAACTTGTTAACTTTCCATCCAATAAAATCTTTTAGGCTCTCAGTCTAGTGTCATCTGATAATGGCTCCCTCTCAGAAATGTTACCTGACATGTGACCTCTCAGAAATTTGTCCTTGCATTTAAAGAAATAAACTCCTGCCCAATTACAGATGTCCCTCAGTCGTGTTATTACTCTGTCTTCCAATATTTCTTCCCTCTTAGAGTTTTTCTTTGTCCTATTATTACGTCCTTGGGGGTAAACTCTTTGGCCTCTTGCCCTAAAGTAATAGTAACTCTTTATCTTCCTCTACAAGTGGAAAGGAAAATAAAATTCCAAGTCCAAGAAATTTGTGAATAATGTAATTGTTTTATACATTTTCTATTATAACCATCATTTCAACCTCTCTTCTACCTCCTTATCCTCTTCAGTGCTGTTGACAGCCTTACTCTTGTTGGTGTTGAGGAGTATATTCCTTCTGTGAGAACTACTTCAACCCTAGTCTGAAGAAAAAGTGATATCCCTGTAACCCCTTACTTAGCATGTTCTATTATGATGTCCGCACCTTGCCCCCACACTAAATCCTCCATTCCCATCCCTTTCTCCTGGGGCAGGGGTGGGGAACCTGCCGCCTGAAGGCCACATGTGGCCCTCTAGGTCCTCAAGTGCAGCCCTTTGACCGAATCCAAACTTCACAGAACAAATCCTTTTGTTAAGGGGATTTGTTATGTGAAGTTTGGATTCGGTCAAGGGCTGCTCAGTCAAAATGCTGCACCCAAGGACCTAGAAGGCCACAGGTGGCCTGGAGGCTGCAGGTTCCCCATCCCTGTCCTGGGGGATATTTATTCTCTTAACAATTTGGAAAATATGGGAACATTGTCCATAGTTCCTTAAAGAAATCGAGTTGAGTACAACATCTTAATAACTCCTTACTAGTTGTAACCTTGTATTCCCTTTTTCAAGATGATAATCCCCTTACAATCTTTCCTTCTCTTTGAATAAATTGCTTGTAACCTTCTTTTTCCTTCCCCTCTCTCCCTGACTTGCCCCAAACAATCCAAGTAATTTTCTCATAAACTTGGCAAGAAAGCTGATAAAACGATGAATTGGTAGGAAATACTACTTTCTAACCAAGGGTGTTGAGAAATGCAGTACTACACAGGAATTACTTGTACTGGGGCAGCCGGCATAATGGAAAGAGGAATAGATTTGAAGTGGCTGGGTTTGAGTGCCCACTCTGCTATTAAGTGTTACTATAGGCAAGTCACCTAACCTGCCTTTGCCTCACTTACCTCATCTGTAAAATAGGACAGTAATATGTCTACCCCTTAAGTAACATAGTTGTTAAGAGGAAAGCACTTGTGTAAAATGGTGGTGGTAGTTACAGAGGGGATTAAAGTAGTGATCATTCTCTCTTTGCCTATTAAACCAGATGCCCCTAGGCCTGTTAACAATTGATCTTTATAATTAGCCTCATTATTCCCGGCCACTAATTGCCTATTTTTATGCTAGCTATTATTTCTTCACCCACAGCATGGGGCTTATAGTTCAAGAAAATTTCTTACTGGCTCAAAAAATATTTTATATTTTGCACTACAGTGTCACCTGAGTTTCTTTAGGTTAGGTGCTGAACCTCTCATAGACAGGGTTAAGCTTTCCTTCCCAGTCTAGAGTTCCTGTGTCCCTAATTTGGAATTTCCTTCAGTTTCTTCAAATCTGTTGTGTTACTTTGCATTGAGTTTGTCCTTCCTCTCGTGAATTCCAACTAGACCTACTGATTTACAGTCTTAGCTTCTTTTTTACACTTTCCAGGTCATCCTTAGGAATTTTTTTGGGTCTTTGATTTGCCTAGCTCTGGTATGTTTAACAGATTTTTGGAATCTATTGAATGTATGTTGCTTGAGGGTGAGACACTTCTAGCACTCTCTGCTCAGGAGACAACTGCACCTTCAAGTATATGTTGAGTGTGTTTAACTCTGAGTTGTTTGTATTAGCTTTAGAGAGGGTGGAGTTTAAGTTCCTTATTTCTTCTAAAGGTGTTGTTCTTAAACCTTAGCTTGCTAAAATGTGTAATCTGGTAGTATAAGTAGTGAGGAGAATTGTGTATTTTTTCCTTTAGAAAGAATTATTTAAATATCCTTTTACTGTTAAATATAAGTTCTGAACATCCTAGCCCCCCTCTCGTTGCCTTTGGGAAAAAAATGTGAGTTCTGGAGACATTAAAGGCTAGGAGTTGCACCAGATTTCTGCATGAGAAAGTATGACAGTGGTGTATTGTGGGGCTGATACGTTCTTCTTCTTCTTCTTGTTTAAAGTGAGACTTTCTAGTTAGAGGTGGTGTCTAAACTCAAAGTTATTTTTCTCATGATGTGCTTTTTCTAAAGTTTTTGTTCTTTGGAACTACAGCATGAGCCTCTTTAAGGAACCCTGCACAGTAGAGATTAAGTACCTCAGATGACTATTTATATCTGGTTCTGAGAGTGTCACTAATCCCTTTAGGAGTTTGATACCTTTTATTGCTTTAAGGAAGGTTCTGACCACAAATTTTAGCAGGGATGTGGATTAGAAGAAAAGACTTTTGGGAAAGGAGGAAAGAAGGAGTCAAAATTTAGGTAAGGAGGTGGGGGAGAGGAAGTAGACCCATAGTGAGGCTTAAAGCAAATGATCAACCAAGGTATAGGTAAACTCTGGGGATCTGCTTTGTGCTTCTAAGGTGCCTTGGATATGGAGAAGAGATGGGGCCTAGCTTTAAAAGGCTATTGTGTATTATGTATATAATTTCTAACATATATATTGTCATGAGCAGCTAGAAGAAGGCTGCTTGGTGTTCTCCCTCTTGTTCTTAAATGAGTCTGACTTCACATGGCCTCAGGGACATGTTCCCCCCCCCCCATACCACCCCCCTCCCCCAGGTTTCTTTTTTACCATCAGTTGAAAAAGCTTTAGCATGTAGGTGAATAATAGAAGTGTCATTCAGCAGAATTTGGTGTAGTCTTCCCTATTGTAGTAGTGGTAAATGAGACTCATGGTCCCAGTCTAGCATGATTGCTTGTAGCTATTCCTAAAATATGATTGTAAGAGAAATATCATGTCTGTAATACTTTTTAGTATTCACATTTAATGGTAGTCACATATAATCAAAAAGAGGAAAAATTTATGAGAGAATGCTATACCTTCTGAGCTTCCCTAAAGTTGCTTCTTTTATAGGTTTATTTATGCTAGGATACATAACTTTATAAGGCCTTTATTTGAGCTTTAAATGAGAAGGAATAGAAGAGGAGGCCACAGAAGTCTTCTTTCATCTTTAATTTAATTTGAAGCATCTTGAGACATGGGGGCTATAAGTTCCCTCTCCTGTTCCTTTTTATTTATTTATTTTTTTGTTCCAGTGAGACCATATTGGGGAATAACTAATATGATTTTGTATGAACTTATGTAAAGATATTTCAGAGAGGTCAGGATAATAGGATGTCAAGTAGGGATTAATCAGCGTCACAGCTATAAAGAGAAAATAGGTTACTGTCTTAAACTTTTGTGCAAAATTCTCATTGTCTGCCTTTAAAGAAGATATTAGCTATGATTGGGAAGTTCAGAGAAGGCCAACGAGAAACTTTGTGCAATTTGTGTCTTTTAGAAGTGATGCTCAACACAAAGATTTTTATACCTGGGATGAAGGATGGCCTGCAGGAATGTGATTGTGATATTTCAGATTGCAAAATGACCTGAAAATTTGTTCCTTTCAGTTGTCTATAAAGACACCCTACAGGGTCCCTTAGTGACAGTGACTGGTACATTTAGACTAGCCTCAAAGGAAATCCTCTTGCACCCAATGTGTACTGAGGCTGACAGTGCAACCAGAATTAAATTCCCTGCCAAGGGAGAATTATCATTAAATGTAGATACTCTTATAAAGATCTGCTGTAATTAAAAAAAAAAGAAAGACCTAGACAATAAAAATGAGAAAATGATTATATTTTGTTGTTGGCCACATGCATCAGATGAGACTAGTTTTCTTTTCTCTGTGCTAAAATGATGACTTCTTGTTATCCCAAGGGGCTCTGATGCACTTTACAAATAGATGTTGAATGTTACACTTAAGAGATCATTTTATCTGTAGTGAAACACAGTCATAGTTTAATAGATGCATGGTAATTCTAGATATAATTAGGAACAGGTTTAAATCTTATATGCATGAGGACAACAGAGGGAATTTATGGGAAACAAGGAGTTAGCATCCTAATATTCAGAAATTATCTACAGTTTAATTGACTAAAATAATGCATGTCAAAAACACTAGAGTTTTCCCAATCCTTTTAAAAAATTTTTAGTGAACAAAAATCTGTTTTCTTCCTCCCCACCCCTTTTTGCTAAAGGAAATTTCATATTTAAGTATTTTTATAAAAAATATTTTTCCCATATAGTGTTCTCTTCACCTACCTACCCTTACCACATATTTTCTGCTTTGAAGCTACTTCCTTGAGAGTGTGCCTTCTGATTTGAGGGGTCTTATATTTCAGTACTCACTATACCTTCTTAGTAAAATATGTCTTTGAAAAATTAACCCCCCTCTGCTAACAGAAGGCCACTAGATGCCTGCTACCAGGTAGGGTGAGGGGAATTGGGAACAAGTCAACACTTACCACTCCAGTCCTGCCCAACTGTTTTTCTTCTTCTTTGTCCCTACTGAAAGAACTTTCATTCCTGTTGGGAAACAGGAGTATGGATCTTGTTCCTTGTACCAAGGTGCTTAAGACTCAGTCCTGAAATATAAAAGGAAAAAAAGACCCTAACTAGAAATCCACTCCTTTAACCACTTGAAAATCATTTGTTATCTCTCCCTCTACC